ATGGAGGAAATTTGGATTATAAAGGCTCTAAGATTTAAGCAAGATAAAGGGTATTTCCTAGAATTTCATGAGTGAAATAATGAGATATTCAGGGAATACTCCAAGTATAACCAATGTAATAAATCAACAAAATATTCAAGGAAAACTGAAGCTCTAGCATTTATTAGGTGGAGGTGAAAAAGTTTGGGTCTTATTGACCTCCAACCCTGATGCCAGGCAGACGGGGTAGTGGTGGTGGTGCTATTTCCTGCTGGAATTCTCTGTATGAACGCACAGAGCTTGTGGGCAGAGTGATACACCTCTTAGATACCTTTCCTCCATCCTTCCTGCTTCAAGCTTGCTCCTCCCTTTAGAGAGTCTTGCTGAAATGACTTCAGCAGAGGATGGTTTCGTCCTGTTTCATGCTCACCAGAATGCTCTCTTCATGGGACAGGGAGTTTTTATGCCTCTTTTGTCCTCTGTCATGTGTAGGTCTATGCCTGGCACATGGTAGGTGTATATCAATGAAATGTATATCAATAGATGAAGGATTAAACGAGTCCCAGAAAGAAGGCCCTTGATCTTTAAAAGGCTTTCTGTGAGTTAGTAAGACTGCTTAAACTGGTAAAATGGACCTATACCTCTGGCTGGATTTCCATGTCCTGTTCCCTCTTGGTTCCTGATAGCTCTAACTTTGGACTCAGATAGAGACATCAATTTCTCCAGCTCAAACCACACCCTATTTCCAACATGCAGTGCTGACTCTGGATTTTACCATCATTTTAGATTCACATTCTACTCTTCTCTCATCCTTATTACTCTGGGTCTAAATTTTTCATTACTGTATTACTATATTCATTACTGTAAGCATAGTGCCTTTAAAACAGCTTACATGTATTATCTTGCGGTTCTGGAAGTCAGAATTATGAAATGAGTCTTAAGGGGTTATGACCAAGATGAGAGCAGAGTTGCTTTCCTTTCTGGAGTCTCTAGGAGAGAATCCATTTTTTAACTCTTTCAGCTTCTAGAGGTTGCTTGCATTCTTCAGCCATCACACTCCAGTTTCTACTCTGCTCTCACTTTACTATCCACTGACTCTAATTCACCTACCTTTCTCTTATAAAAAGCCTTTCACTGAGCCTAACTTGATAACCCAAAGACAGTCTACTTCTCAAGTGCCTTGATGTCACATCTGCAATGTCTTTTTTCCTATGTAAAACAACCTATTCATAAATGTGACTGTAAATCCTGATATACTAACTTCACTAGATTAAGAAATTAGCAAAGCATGCTCCTGGGAGTGTCTAGGTGGACCATGGAGGCCGGTCCTAAGGTCCTGTATAGATGGTCTCACCCATTCCTCTTAGGAAACATTCTGTCCTCTGCTTTCTGGATGTCATGAGGTGAGTAGCTTTTATCTGCCACACTCTTCCATTGTGAGGCTCTGCCTTGGAGCCAGCCAACCACAGGCTGAATCTCCCAAATCTGTGAGCCACATTAAACCTCGCATCCTTTAAATTGGGGTGTTAGGCGTTTTGTCCAAGTGATGGGAACGCTAACTGATACAACAGGTTTCAGTGATCAGGATGTAGATGTCTTTGGGGGAACCCTGATTCTGTCTACCACACAGCCTACCCCATGGCTGGCACAGATCTCCTGAATGCTATGATGTGACATGACTGTAGTAGGGCTTTTTTAATTTTTTCTTCTGGTGTTTCTTCCCACATGTACTCTGATCTATCCATAAAGCCTACAAAATGGAAGAGAGCTTCTAGATTGGATGTGTTTGAAATTTTCTTTCTGGTGGGCCTGAGGAAGCATAGTGTCTTTCGCTAAGGCTGTGGCTCTAGGACTTTGCCTCACTTATCTGACCACAGGGCTTCGGAGTTCTAAAGAGCTAGAAAAATCTCTTGGGGCTAAGGCAGAAATTTGAGGATCTTTGTCATGAGCCCTCATTGATCATAATTATCTTTGAATAGCAGCCACTGTGGACAATAGATTATTTGAAGCTGGGATGACTGACTGAATGAAGTAGTATATGATTCTGAACAGCGGCAGAGCAGCAAGCAGTGCATGAAAATAAAGCACTCTGAAAGCTCACATTTTCCCTTGTCCCTATTTTGCTGCAACCAACAGGTATCCTGCCCAACCTCCAACGTGAGTCTTTATGGTCCATAGTCAAATCACAGAATGTGGTCCTCTCAGAGCAATCTAGCAATGCACAAGTCCATTGCAGGCAGATGGTCCATGTGGCTGGGCTGGCCCACCCCATGGGCTGCCTTGGCAAGAGCATTCTGGTAGACAAATCCTGATGCTACTTCAAAGAACCGCCCCACCAGGTGCCAAGGGCGGCTTTTCCAATGCTTTTCTGATGTTCACGCTGTGTCATTGTTTATTTTCTCAAGGCGCCCAGCTGCTTCGGTGATGATATTTATATCAATAAGTGCTCTATTCATCTGCTGATTTCAAGGGATGCTTGCCAGCTGCATATGGCAGCCAACATCAAGGCGCTTCTGAACCTGATGTTTTGCATTTAGAGACTCAATTCTCAAAGGGTGCACCAACATCTGGTGCTGAAAGATCCCTCATTCACCCAGAACCTACCCTGAAAAGTGGTGCTACAGTCAATGACCTTGACTTTCTATGTTGCAAAGTAATATTCTTTGAAACTCCTGCTCTGGGTCTGAGCTCTGGTTTTGTAAAAAGGATACTTGGAAAAGAGAAGAGCAAATGGGCTTCCATAGGTCCTATTAATCCCTAGCACATGGAACTGAGTTTTCTGTGTTAATTTTTCAAGCAAAGAAATAGGTGGTGATGGGTTCTGATTCTGAAACTCTGCAGGAAATGCTCTAGAATGCTGCTTTATGGGAATTCATGATATTCAGTTATATGAGTCTCTCCTTCTGTTGTTCAGGTTCCAAACCATGGTGTTATCCTTGATCCCTCTTTGTCTTTCACATTCCATATTCAAGCCATCAGGCTATTTTGTCAGCCCTACTTTTGGGATATATGTGGAACCCATGCCTTTCCTGTCATGCTGGTTCAAGCCCTTGTCACCTGTCACCTGATAATCACAGTAGCTTCTTCCAGGTTCTGTGTCCACTATCATTACCTGCTCTTTCCTTCTCCTCAACAAAGATCTCTTCTCAACCTAGCCAGAGGGATGCTTTTGGAAGAGGTCAGATTATGGCACTCTCTGCTTAAAGTCTCTCAGTGGCTCCCTTTCCCCAAGTTTTTCCTATGAACATATTCCATGACCGGTCATGGTCTTTGATGGCACCATCTTCTGTTCGTCTCACCTTCACTCCACTCCTGTTCCAGTGGCCTTAGTGATGCTCATCAATGGTCCCAGGTGCCCAGACGTGTGCCTACTATACGGCTTGGGACAGGTTGTCCTCTGCCTGCACCACTCTCCTTGGAAGAACCACATGGTTTTTATATCCTCTAAGTCTGTGTTCCTTGGCCACCCTATAACTACATCCTGAGCTCCAACCTAGCCTTCTGACCTCCATTATGCTGCCCTCTTATTTATTTTTATCCATGTCCTTGGCTTTATCCGTACTCTCGTAACCACCTAACATACAAGTAAACACATTACAGGGCATTTGTTGCTTATTGTTTGTCTCCCCACTTTGGAATAGAAAATGCAATAGAACAGGAATTTTATTGTTTTGCTTTATCTGTGTCATTCACTGATGCATTCCAAGCACCTTAGAGCTTCCAGCAAATAGCTGTAGCAGATGCCCAACAAATGTGAGTCAATGAATGAAAGGAATCTCTCCTGGATGTCTCCCACAGGCACATACAGAGTTGGACACCTTTTATTCCCTCCTATTCTACTCCTCTCCCTGCCCCTACACCTTCCTGCCTTTCCATTTTTGGCCAAGTACTCCCTGGACACATGATCACTCAGATGAAATATCTGCCACCAACCCTGACTTTTCTTTCTTATTCACCTCCCACATGCAACTGCTCCCTAAATCTTATGGATGTCAACACTAAAATGTTTTCACATTGAATCCCAATTCTCCCACCTCCTGGCCACTTCCTCAGCTCAGATCTTCCTTCATTTTCAGCACTTTTGCCAGATTTTCCTCTAAAATCTCTGGTTCTCAAGTTTGCACTCCAGCAATTTCTTCTCCCGGGTCCTGGACTTGGTTTTCTAACAGGAGCTCTGGCTTTGTCCCTCCACACTTTAAGTTTCCCAGAATCTTTCCCTATTGGACATCCAGAACTTTGTAACTGTCCTACTAGAACTCCAGGATTCCATAGAGGAGCCCAGAGAGACTGACTCTCTATGGCCACCAGGAGAGGATGAAAGGCCAGTGTGGATAGAACCCAGTCCCCTGCCTCCTACTTCAAAATGAGTAGTTCTTGGTCATACCGCTTGATACACTGGATATGATGAGTGCTTTTATTTCTAGAAAAGATCTTGCAGCTTATAAAGCAAACGTCTGACACTCCAAAACACTGTCCCAAGACAGGTGTCCTGTGTCTGAGTGTGAAGATGTGTCGTAGATTTATAATGCTTGCAGCTGCCAAACACAGAGGGAGTAAGGTATAAGGCCAGGATTTAGTGGGGGGCTTTTAGGGGCAAAGCCTCCAAAGTTTGACATTCAGGTTCTGCCAGCATGGGCTGCATGGCAACCAGGATAGGTAGGTGTGGTCAAACAAACACCAAGTCTTCTCTGGCGAGGTGGCTTCCTGGCTTGACAAGTTCACTGTAATTTACAGTAAGATCCTCACCAGTGCCTGGGGCATTAAGCAACGTGAACAGCCCTGGGCCATTTAGACAAAGCTAAAGGCAGCATAAGTCACTGCTGAGGGTGTCTGGGCAAAGGATCAAGCAGGAGGTTTCTTGCCTCTGTAGACAGCATAATGGACTTGCCTGGTGCACGTGGCCAGACCAGGCCCCTTACAGGGCAATCACAGTGGTCATCATAGGACCTCCCTCCAAGTCTACAGCATGGTTCCCCTGCCCCACTTGGGCCCACGTAGGGCAGCCACTGGGCCTCTCCTACCTGGACAGTGTCCAACTCATTCAGCATCACCACGGAGGAGCAGTTATAATCGAACACCAGCCTCCAGAAATCCGCCACGGTGTTGGGTAGAGGGTGCTGCGTGACTACAAAGGCGGCAGGTTGCTTGTGGCTCTGACAAAGGAATGACATATGCTTTATAAAGTGCATATCTGTCATGATATTCTGATGATGATGAGGCCTGAATGGCTGCCAGAGGCCTGCCAAATAGATTTTATAAAGCGCCTGCCAGTTCTGTTATCTCTTGGTGCCCTGGTGGCAAAGGAGACCTTCTTATAATGAACACATTCTCCTCCAAACTAAGACATTTCATTAGGAAAGTGTTACTTGGATGGGGATTATCCAAGTAAATTATTTATGTCTCAGAGCTCAGCAAATAATCATCATTATAATATGAAATGAAAAATTCTGGATGCAGATTTGCTGCTCTGCTGACCAAGACACCTCTCGGGATATAAGGGATCTGCTGAGTCCCTATGCCTATGATGCTAGCGAGGAATCAGAGGTGACCTCCAAATGGAATTATATTGCAAAGCTAGATTCTGTCTCCAGGCTGGTTGAGCTGGTCTGGCAGGAGGTTAGCACTGTATCCTGCAGCTACTCGGGCAGGAGAAGTACCAAGGTATTAGAGCCTTGTAAATTATGAGTTATCCATCCACCCACTCATTTGTCCATTCATCCACACATTTTCATTCTTCATTTATTCATTCAAACATGATTTGTAGAGTGCCTTTAGAGGGAGGTGGGGGGTTAACACTGGTAGGCTCCAAAACTCAGATTCTTTATCTGGAAAATGGAAATCATAAATCCAAAGGAATGGTTGTCCTACAATTGAGTGAGGTTTGCACGTGAAATCACAGCAAGCAAGAGCCTGAAGGTAAGCCCACTGGCCAGGTGCAAACCCCTGTGACTTAGGTTTTATCCAGGGAAACAGCACTGCATCTGATACATACTAGACAGTGTAATCCAGTGGAAAAATAAGTTAATTCAGCCCCATATTTCAGACAGGGGAAAAGAAACCCAGAAAAAATGAGCTGCATGAGTCTTGAAACTTCAACGGGACCCTAGTTGTCACAGCACCCTGTGAGAAGGTGTCTGAGAGGATTGGAGAGCATCTCCATCTCATCAGTGGTTTGTGAAACCTGAGAAATAGCCTGTGTTTTCAACAAGTTTGCTTGGAAGATAGTTCCCGTGGGCATCTCGGCTGTTTTCAGAGGGGTCACAAGTCAGAAGGAGATAGAGGAGGAAGAGGAAGATCAGGAAAATCCCTTACAAACACAGTTACAGTGCATGTCAAGGAGACCTGCTTTTTAAGGACCTTCTCCTGGCTCATGGAATTGTCAGAGGATGCGGGGAGGGCAGACCATTTCATTGTTCAAAAGCCAAACTCTCTAGCCATAGATAACATGGGTTTTAATCAATTTCCAGATGTGGAAAAAAATCTAGGCTTTGGACACAGCAGCTATGAGGCTCAGATTCCTGGGCTCCACCTTTTCTGAAATGGTTGACCTCCAGGAAGCGAAATATGCTGAAATACACTGACCCTCAGTATGTCTTTGGAAAATGGGGATAACAATACCCAAGTGCAGGATGAGACAATACAAGTCCAGGAAACAACATGGTGCCCAACATTCAGGGAATGTAAGTTTTCTTTGCTTTTTTCCCTGTCTCTGTGATAAATGCTCTATTAGACCAGCATGCCTGACAAAGCCTTATCTGAAAATATGTTCAAGATCTGTGCTCCTGCTGGGTTTCAGGGATCAGCCAGCAATCCATTTCATGGATAACATCATCCTTTACCAGGGGAAACATTAAAAATTAACCCAGAGGACTTCTTTTTTTTTTTTTTTTTTTTTGTTAGAGGCAAAGCTGCTATGGTTACCAGATAATACACTGACTGAGCTGGAATACAGATAAGGACTTTTTTTTTAATATAAGAAAGGCAAAGGCCCCAGTGACTGCTCACAGGAGAAATGCCCTGTGGACAAAGAGAATACAATCAGAACCAGAGCTTGGCAGAAGGCATTTGACTCCAGGTAGCATCTAACCTACTAAGTAGAGGCCAGGGGCTTGTTTGATCCTTGCTTAGATGATGAAGGAAGGGAGTAGGTTCAGACTACCGGGGGAAAGCTGAGAGAAACTTGGGTGCACCTCTACACATCATCTGTCAGCTCACACATGTGTGCACATGCATGTTCACATATACATACATGAACATGTTGACATTGGAAGGTCCTAACCTAAAAGCAGAGGTTTTCTTTCTGTACCCAGCTCTCTGACATGATCAAGACAATACTCCTTGCCTCTGAACACACAGCCAGGGTTTGTGGTGGACGTGAGAACCTATGGGCAAAACCCAGGGAGGCCTCTTGAGAGGTGAGCTAGGCCTTGACCTCCCATCATTTCCTTTCTTTCAGCACCTAGGACCCTTGGAGAGAAAGCTAAGGAGATCAGAGGTCCCAGAAGTAGTTGGCATGAGCCCAACTGAGAGTATCCTATGTTCCTGTGAGAGGGCCACAAGAGCTAGATAGGTATCACCTCAGAGTGAGGAGGCTCAGAAAGGAGACCTGGAACAGCTCATTCCTAATCAGGCAATGTTGTTCTTGGTCCTGAGGCAAGATTTCTGCATCGTACAGGATCAAGTAAGCTATGGGAATGTGCAAGAAATGAACTGTAGAGTGGCAACCAGGAGCCCTAGGTTTGCTACTAATTCTCTGGATGACCTCAACTCTTTTTCAACCTAGCCTCAGTTTCTTCTGTTGAAAAGTACATGGATGAGACTCAATGGTTCCTGTTTCTGTCCTGCTACAAATATCTCTACACTGTAGTGGTGGAATGATGATAACCAGACGTAGCCGGGAGACCCAAGAATGAAGAATATGAGGCAGGAGCTTTGGCCCACTAGGGCAAGACAGGACCCAAATCTCAAGCTACAGCAGAGGAGAGGGCCCTTCTTGGACTTGACGTCAAGGAAGTAGAAGATGAAAGCCCTGACAGGTTTGTTAGGAACATGGCCTGTTTTCTTCTTTTATTGCTTCCCTTCACTCATCTAATAGCCACTTACTGAACACCTACTATGTAGCCATCCTTACCCTCTCCTCTGCACAGGAGTTATCTGGGAAGATGAGTGGGAGGTGTCAGTAGACAGAATCTATGTCTGTACCTTCTTGTGTTACCTGGGTTCAGGCAAGGCCTGGAACAAGCAATGCTGCCTAAACTGAATTAGCCCTGTAGGAGGTGGGAGGGGGCACATGGTAGGACTTTAGCTTTGTTGTGATGTCACTGGAATCACTTTAAGCTTTTTATCTATTCTTTCCAGGTTCTTTGAGTCAAAGGGCCGAGAGAGCCCAGCTTGGGTCTGGGTTTGGGCCCGAGGCCTCAGGATGAGCAAATGTACTCAAGTCCAGCAGGTCAGAGGCAAAGAGAGGCTGGCTGGTGGAGTCAGGTCCCTGGGTGCAGCCACCTCCAGCTCAGGAAGAAGCTTTTCCCTGAAATGCCAGCCAGCAGCTTTCTGCCAGGTCTCTGCTTACATCCATCAGTGCTGCGTTGATATAGTTGCTGGATTCTCCATCCACAGAGATGAGGAAAGGCAGACAGCGGTCCAGAGGCAGGACATCCATGCTCCGATTCTTATCATGGTTGCGGGGCAGGAGCCCGATGCTGCAGTCCTCGGGCCGGACCCGGGGTGTCACAATGTTGAGTGTCTGTGGGGCACAAGGCAGGCAGATAGATACTGCTTAGATAGTTGTCCCTGACCTGAGGAAAGGAGACAGTGATGTTCCATTTTAGCCTAGCTCATTTATCTCCGCCCATGAAGCTTGGCCCTACTGTTCCTTTCCTAGCACCCATGCCTCCTCTGTGCTGGTGTGTTCTACCATATCCTGCTCACTGCTATGGGACTTGTGGACTCAGAGCCTTTGCCAAGGGCTGCATGACACTTTTAAGATGCCAAGGGTGTAGAGGCAGCATGCCCACACACAGGCTCAGACGTGGAGCCTCAACCCCTGCCAGCCAGTTGCACTATGTTGTCGAACGGAACAAATGCTGCATTGAAGGACAGGCCAGCCAGAAGAGCATATGGTGGGGATAGGAGCAGCAAATCCCTAATGAGACCTAAAAATCACTTGAAGTGTCATAAAATGAGGAAAATGATTCACCAGCACTTTTCTCAGAAAGAAACCTGTATGAGGATGAAAAGATGCTCAGGGAGTTTGGGAGATCTCCAAGGGAAGTGCTGTAATAGATCTGCAAAAACAGCAGGGGTTATGCTTCGAAGAATGAGTCTTGCAATTTAGAACCAGAGCTGCCCTGGACAATAGGAACTCGATTCTGTTTCCAATGTCCAGAGTTTTTGGTCTTCCCGCCTTCAGTCATTTGTTATACTGACTCTGCTCTACATCAGTAAAAGACTGTTTGAAGGAGCACTAAAATATGGACCTGCCTGGGGTATCTGCCCATGTAACTATGAGACTAGCATCTTCTCACTGACTCGACGCAAGTCCTGGAGCTGTATGTTCGTGCATAACAAAGACATTTGCTTCCTCCTGCCTGGTTCTCAGCTCCTGTTGCTCAGGCATGACCCTGGTACTGGCCTTGGGGCAGATGTCTGAACTCTAGCTTTGCTGTATTCAGTGAATCATGTCCAGGCCTCTTAGAATGAAGTTGCCACAAGTCTAACCACATGGGCTCCAAGGTACAGATCTGTTATGCCTGAGCTGTGCTCTAAGATGGTGCTTCTGAAAATTTGATAATCATCCAGAGATCCTATTAAATTGCAAGTTCTTAATCAGATCTCGGTAGGGCCCAAGATTCTGCATTTCTCGAGTAAAGTTTATGGCGTTCGTCTTTAGAACTTGCTACCTTTGAAGTACTGAAGATCAACTAAAAAAAAAACCTGAGACGCTTCAGGGATAAAGCAGCATGAAATTCCTATCTACGTGCATATCTTGTCTCCATCTACAACCTGGACTAGGACTATGTAAGACCTAAGTTTAAAAACATAATTATAGTTAAAAGCAAAACTCAGGCATCACTGAGTTATTAATTAGTCATTGTTCATGGCTGTGCATTTGGTGTTTTGGAATGCATTCTGTAGCTGCCTGGCACTGCAACTTGAAAGCCTACAGACATCTCAGTTCTCACAAAGGAAGCCCCACAAACGTGCACAGCACCATTGAAGTTGGTTCAGTCAGTGCTATAAGCTGAATGTGTACCCCAAAAGGCATTTGTTGCCAAAGTGATGGTTTTCGACAGTGAGTTCTGTGGGAGATAATTAGGTCAGGAGAGTGGAACCTTTATTTATGGTGTTAGTGCTCTCTAAAAAAGAGACCCAAGAGCTTCCTCCTTCTGCTTTCTGCCATGTGAAGCTACAACAAGAAGGTGGTCACCTGCAAACCTGGACAGTATCTGAGCCCTCTGCAGACACCAAATTTGCTGGCAGTTTGATGTTCCACTCCCCAGAAATATGATAAATCGATATCTATTATTTAAACCACAAAGCCTATGGAAATTTGTTACGATAGCTCGAAAGGACTAAGACAGTCTTCCAGGATTTGTCCATACCTGAAACTCATCTTTGATCTGGCTGGAGTTCGTCTGGGGGTCCAGCCTACTGATGTTGTAGTAGAGAGAGCGGAACTCACACACGGGGATGGCCGTGTTGCCACAGAGGCACGCTTCCAGGATGGCGTCATGCACAAACACGTACTGTTCCTGCACAGCCAAGCGGAGGGAACAGGGAACTAGGTAAGTACAGTGGCCACGAAGACTGGGCATGGTTTATATTGCTGAATCCTTACTTTCTGTCCTGTAAACAAAGGACCAAGTCCTCCTACTTCTTAGTGACTGCCTGGCCATGGTGTGATTTGTTCCTTATGCAAGACTGAACAACAGAATCATGATAAAAATGAGAAATTGTGGACATATCATGGCAGGTACTCTTGATGTCTTGCCCACATCTCAGTTTTACCTTTACCTACCAAAGGTTACTTGCTGCTAATATCCTGTGATTATTCTTTACAGAAGACTTTCTCCAGCTCCAGAAGCACATTTGGGCTGTATGCAGCCCAAAGCCACAACGCCAAAAGAAGTAATGCCCCAGTAAGGAGTCCTCAAGCAAAGGCAAAGGGAGAGTTGAGGATAAAACCTAAGTTCCCTCCACACTTTTATAAAAAAATAATTTTATTGGTACATTTTAAGTATATAATATAATGACATTCATCATTGGAAATTTGTACCTTTACATAATCTATCTTGGCTCTTATTTTTTCCCCCATTTCCTTGCCCTCCCTTCAACCCCCCACCTTTCCCCCATGCTTTGATGGGACACATTAGAGATTCTGGTTCTACACTATCAGAGTTCCCCAGCAGGACCAGCCTCCAGGTGTCTACTGTGTTTAATAGCCTGATAAAGTACCCTTTGTTTCTTTCCTTTCCTCCTCTGTCTCACTTCCCCCATTTACCAACTAGCTGTCTTGGGATTTCCTGCTTGCCTTCAAGTCTTTGTCTCAGGGTCTGCTTTTAAAATCTGTGCCAAATTCATTCCCACCCCAGTTCTTTGTACTTGCTATTATCTTCTGAAAAACTTTACTCCCTTTTCTCTATAACTTCAATGTTTCATTCCTTTTGGAAAGTCTTTCCTAAATCCACCAGGTAGAATTTGCTGTTGGGATTTTAGGCTCATGATATGTGTTTGTTGAGTGACTTTTGTCCTAAAAAACATGGTCTATTTCTCTATATAAAGTACCTATCCAGATGCTTTAGGCATGGACCTGGGAACCAGTAAAGCAGTTGTCTGGGCTGTAGTGAACGCCAGACCTGCAGCAAGGTCCTTTGTGTGTGAGCCTATCCATGAGGGTCTTCCTGTGGAGCCAGGAAGTAATGCTGTGTCCAAGGCTGTGGGTAGCTCCACTTTGCAAGGTAGACAATGTATGCAGCTCCCATGTGTCTGCCTGGGCATAAATGATATTCACTAGAGCCAGAAGATGGGCTGATTAAAAGGATGATGAACCAAGGAACAGAGGAATGGGACAGTCAGAAAAAGTTGCTTAGTGAGGGGAGTGGTTCAGAACAAAGAACATAGGCTTTGGCAGCACCTGGACCCAGGTTCTACCAGTTGGCAGTGAGGTCTTGGGAACACAGTTTGTCAATTTCCCCTTTGTTGATAAAATGGGGATTCTAGTAGGGCTGGCATCATAGTTTGTTGTGGAGTAGAAACAGCACAGTATCTTGAGTACAACAAATGGGCATTCCCTTGCACACAGCAGATGTGCAACAACAAAGACAATGCCCCTCTATTTCCTGCCTTGAGCTCTAAGTGGACAGGCAGTTTCCTAGAGGACTTACTCTTCTTTGATGGCAGGAGCTATGTATATCTCTCTTGGAATTCTCAGCTCTGGGATCAAGTCCTCAAGAACTTTGCTGATTAAGCCATTTCTTTCAGGGACTGAATTGATACTTGGAACATAGAAGGCATTCAATAAATGGCAGTCTGTCCTTTCCCTCTCCCTCACCCAAAGCTGGAATACTATTCATAGAATCCCTAACAGCTGCCATTCAGTTTTGACTTGGACTGCCCTTGGCAATGGGAAACTCACCACCATTCATCATGGGTGGAAATCCCCGTACTACATACAGATCCTTAAGATTAACTGGGGTGTTCCAACCTTCACAGGGGTCTCACCATTGCAAGCCACATGGTCACTCTCCTCTCCCACACACAAGCCCTTCTCTATAGGATGCCATCACCTGTAGGTCTCTCTGTCCTACAGTGCTTCTCCTTGGTCAGGGCTGCAGGTGCCTGGCTGGCTTAGTCTCCCTTGACTCACCTCTGTCTGCACCAAGTTGACTCTCTGTGCCCGCAGCTCACGCACACAGTTGAAGATGTCCACCACTCCTTCGTTCTCAGCCATGTCAAGCATGGTATCAATGGCGATGAAGCAGCCAGTCCTCCCAGCTCCAGCACTGGAAGAAACAGGATAATCTGTGTTAGGGACCTTGGGATGGGACCAGCCCTACCACTTGGCTCTGTCCCCAAGGGTCATGCTGAGAGGCAATAAATATGCTGCTGATGTCAGACAGAACCCCTGGAATCTCAGCACTCTGGGAGAGGCTGAGCAAGTGACTAAACTTAAAGCCTCAGCTCCCTCCTTGGTAAAAATGAAAGAGTAATGCTTGCCTTTGGGTGCTATCTTATCAGGACTGACTGATTTTGCTGTACTCATTTAGCAAACACCTATTTAGGGCTGCCTGATTGCCAGACTGTTCTCAGCACTTTGCAAATGTTATCTATAAACCTTCCCTTGAGCTTAGCAGCAAGTTTTGCACTCCATTTCACAAGTGAGAAAATTGAGGCACACCGGGGCTTACCTTGCCTGAGGTCACACAGCTGGCAAGTGGTTGAGCAGGGAATTTCACTCTGGTAGTCTGACTCCAGAATACCTGCTTATTTATGTACTTCCTTTAAAAATAAGACTTACGATATATATGAGGGCTTACACAGAATGCAGGCATGCAGTTTCCTCAATTAATGGATAAAGCTAACTGACCTGTGTAGAGTGAAATATTTAACACAGTGCCTGGCATGCTGGAGTTGCCTAACATACATATCTTTTCTATTTCCTTCTCTTTTTATTCCTTTCTCTTTTTTCCTTTTAGCAAATGCACTGATGGGTGGAAACAATGGAAGAAGAGCAGAGAGATAACTGAGAGGAAATGAGTGAAAGAGTCACAACAGGAGACCTCTGAGCTATCCCAAAGGCAGAAGGTGAGTCTGAAGTCTCCTGTCCAAGGCCCTGCCTGTGGCTTTCCTAGGACCATGAACCAATAGAATTATTCCACTGGAGAAACTAATAACCCTTGACCTTTGTCAGGCATCAATTTTCTGATACACATTCAATTTCCAACCTTTGATGGCTTTGTTAGGAGAATCTCAGACCAAGAACAAAGTGACAAAAGAACTCCCTCCATGAAACTCCATGGTGCATGGCCAACCCTTCCCAGATTAGTGCTAGGTTCTAACATGATGATGTTGAACCAGAGACACACATTTCCTTCAAATGCAGTTTAGGAAGGAAGTCCAGGCAGACTGTCAAAGAGGCCTGTAATGGTTGTGTTTCACAACTTGCTCCCCTATGGAAATACATGTCTTTGTCTAACACTGTGAAAAATCAAAGGAAATGCAAAGAGGAAGAGAGATGGAGTGAGACGGCAAAGCAATATTGGCTGATAAATCCAAGAAGCACAGGCCAGTGGGGACAATGACCCTCGCTGATCTGGTATTAAAATGGTAGGAATAGTCTTCATTCATGACAAGACTTCACAGCTTGTGGTGATTGAAACCTGACTTCTATCTGCCTCAAAATGCTTCCCCTCTACTACAATTTAGATCTCTCAAAAGGACTCAACATTCTGGGCTTTGGTGTTCCAGAGGTGGTACAAGGAGCAACTCAATTCATCTCCTCTTCTAAGTCTTATTCTCAACATATTTTTAGAGGAGAGAACCAGCTGGACTTTATTTTGAATCTTGGATCCACCATCAGTGAATGAGTTGCCTAATGCCTGTGAGCCTGCTTTCTCAGTATGAAATGCCCCTTCTGGCAAAGGCTTTGTGAAGGTTGTACTCTGCTTTGATGCTCTGATGCTCTAAAGAAACACATGATCTTTGGAAGTGACCCCTGGGATCACATCCTGGCTCTGTTACTTGCCAGCTGGGTGGCCTTTAGTAAATGACTTAATCTCTCTGGATTTCATTATTCTCATTTGTAAAATGACGCTGATAATAATAAAACAATAGTTCTACCTCATAGCATTCATAGTGCAATATATGCAAATTGCATGAAATTTTGTTTAAAAAGCATAATGCATGAAAACTGCTTACCCCTTTGCCTACTTGCATAGGGATTTTTCAATAAATATTTGCTACTTACAGTCAGCATGTTTATTGAGCATCTATACAGTGCACTGGATTCTGGGGTTAAGAGTGGGGGTATAAGATGAGTAAGGCATGGTTCCTATCCTTATGGACTGACAGTCTGGGGAAGGGAGGTATTACTAAGAGAAGAGTGATTTTTTTTTTTTTTTTTTTTGT